CTTCCTGGATGGAAGAGAAACGTCTTCAAACTTGGAAACAAAGTCCAGTGGATTGATTTTAACTTTTTTGGAATGCTATTTATTGATACCTTTCATACTTTAATGGAACATTTATTTATTTCACATCAAATTTGTATTTATTTATTGAATTCTTGCCTCTTTAAGCTACTGATGTACTAATTAGTTATTTATTTAATTGTATTTTGTGTATCTAATTTTGTCCCCTTTAGCCCTCCGTACTGGAGGGCCTGGAGCTTTCAGGCTAACTTACCACAGAGGTGTTGAGTCCGGACATGACCGGGTCGTGGACCTCGCGGCAGGTGTTGGCTTTCTCCTTACAGGCTGCGATCATGGTGATGACGTCGTCCGGGTCGGTCGCCGTCTTCACGTCCGACAGGCCTTTGGCCCAGGCTGCCGAACTCACCAGCCACATGAAGGCGAAGGCTGCCGTCACCCCCAGGTCCTGAAACGGCACCGCAGTGAGACCAACAGGGGGGACTCAATCACCCACCCCAGGGGGACACTTACGATCAGCGGGCCCTTGTTGTTCTCCTTGTACTTCTCGTAGAAGAAGATGTAGATGCTGAGCGCCGCTGTGGAGTAGAGGAAGGCGAACACCCCGATGGTGACAAAGAACTCAGCCGAGGAAGAGTAGTCGCCGACCAGGAAGACCTGCTCCGTCCCCCCCGTGCAGGTGGGGGGCGTAAAGTAGACCTGATGGAGCCTGTGGAAGGAAGAGTTAGCCGACGATGAGAGGAGCACTAAGATGAAGCAAACCGGTTCCGACTGGTCTGAATCCTTCTGGAGGGAATGAATGATGTTCTGCAATTAGGCACTAAGAGAAGAGAAATGATCGGACCTGAATGGATACTCAAACTCAACCTTTACTCCCAGGTTGCTCTCTGTCAGGTTCTTGCAGTCCACCGACACCTTGAACATCCCAGAATAACTGCCGCAGGTGGAGAAGGCGAAGATGGCGAAGAACTGGAGGGCACAGAGAACACATGAGGGTTATGAAGGCGAGAGCGCTGACCTGAAGAAACGGGACAAATGGGGCGGAGCCAGTCTCATTTGGGTCTCAGAACCTCATGTCCCTGAGAAGCTGCTGCAGGTCTGAGGGTAGCTGGGAAACCAACTACCAGTTTTAGTC